CAAATCTCACGGGCTCAAGGTTGACTCAGCCTTCCATCCTTCCGAGGCGGGTAAAATGAGAACCCGGATTGTTTGTGCCGATATGCTAACTCTGTAAACCGCTTAGAGAGGGCTGAAAGCCCTATGAAGCGGTATATAAGTCTAACTGCTATTGCTATTGCTATTGCTACTAACACCACTTTTACAAAATCAAATCAAAGTTTAAGGGTAGATGTTTAAAGTAATTTTAAAAAATAGCTTCTGTATAAAGGTTAAAAATAAAAGACTTAGTGTTATGGTTAAGCCTAATAGTACACACAAGAATCAATACATCAGATCCTTATTTCTGTTTTCAATATATGAGAAACAGAAAGTCAGCAAGTTGAAGACCAGTCAAATGTAATACCTAAAAGAATTCCACAGAAGACAATAAAAAGATCAGCCTGCAATCAAACTGAAAATGATGTGTTAAGCGTCAGAAATGAGTGTGGATTTGTCGTGAACAAATCTTGCCATATCATGTTTGATACACAGTACATCTTGATGTCAGTAAAACATCAAGACAAAGTACCACATAGTTTCCATCCAGTGTGGGCTGGATTGCAAGATTATTAAATCAAAATCATATTCAATGTACTCAGAAATTGGGAAGATAATAACCAAGTGAAATGCCACAAGTATCAGTCTTAGATTGTCCTTACTATTGCTACTAATGGTTTGGAGAGACTGGAGGAAATAATTATTATATTTGCAGATGACACAAAACAGATTAACAGAAAGAAATGAAACTAGAAATGATCTTGATAAAATAGAGAAATGTGATGAAAATAATGGATTGTATTTTATAACTGTAAATGCAAAGCGCTTCACTAGGAATATGATATGGTTGCAAAAAAAAAGATACTGTAAATGCTATTTAGGCTGTATCAAGCAGTACAGCATCCATTCACTGGAAGTAATAGTTCTGTATTATTCTGCTTCAATAAATCACCATCTTTTGTGCTATTTTGGGTGAATAACTTTAGGAAGAATTCAGAAAAACTGGAGCAGATTCAGAGAAAGGCAGTAATGATCCTGGAAAGTAGACATTAAGTTATGTGAAGAGAAATTGGGTATATTTTGCCTTGGGAAAAACAAATAGGAGCATTTTTCAAAGGAATGAGAGGATTTTAACAAAGAAGCCAAGACCTGTGCTCATACAAGAGCAGGGGATAGAGAATAATGGATTTAGGTTACGGGAAAGCAGATTCCAATTAAGTATTAGGAAAAAAATTCCCCGGCGCTGCTTAACGGTAAAACCAATTATGTAGAGAGGTGGTAGCTTCCCCTTTATTGTACATGTTCAAGTAACAACTTAAACAACCATAGCTCATTGATGCTTTAATTCTTGCACTGATCTGGGGGTTGGCATCATAAAGTAGACTAGATCAAGAAACTAATTCCACAGGGAGACTAGAACTATATTTTATTGAAATAGGCTAGTAACAGTATCTTGCAAGAGCCAAGGTGGCGCAGTGGTTAAATGCAGCACTGCAGGCTACTGCTAGATCAGCAGGTCAGC